TGATCGGGAGGTCTGTTTCAGCTGGTTGTATTCTGGAGGTGTTTCTGATGTTGTTCTATTTAAAAGCTCTCCAAAGTGTTCTACCCACCTCTTCAATTGTTCTTCTGTTGTGAGAGGTTTCCCATTCTTGTCCTTCACTGGCTTGTCTGTCTGCTGGAACTTGTTGGAGAGCTTCTTTGTGACCATATACAGTTTTCTCACGTTTCCTTGTACCGCTTCTTCAGCTTGTTTGGCCAGTTTGTCAATGTGATCCTGTTTATCCTTCCTGATGCTTTTCTTAACTTCTTTATCTGTGGCTGTGTAGTACTCTCGAGCTTTTGCCTTTGCTGCTCTTGTCCGGCTTGTATTCAGTGCCACTTTCTTTTCCTTCCCCACAGCCGGACTTGATGCAAGCCACACGAGCAGGCTAGGAGCTGGACTTGCTTGTCAGAGGCTATTAGAGGTGCACGCCCTGAGGAGCATTTTATAGACAATAGGAGCTTATCCCCATTGCCATCCCTCAACTATGACAACCTTTGGAACATTTACACACCAAGAGTAAAATTTGTATACATGTAAAATTTACACATGTAAGTAAATCAGTGCATGTGAACAGGACTAAAATCTGAATATTTGTACCCATCATTATGTATAAAAGTGGATATATCTAAAAGAATATGTATTTGGTGTGATAAAAGTGAAATATTGTGTGCTTTGGTATAACTGCATCAGGAGGTTATTTATATTCTTTTGAGATTTACATCGAATTTTTAAATTCTATGAAAAGAATAGAAAACAAATTCCGTCATATCATATCCAAATTTGGAAGAAATATTTCAACAGTAAATTCAGATAATGTGTATGAAAAATGTTTAAAGCAATAAGAGCTGCATTTTTGAGAATTTTCTTTTGCTATTAGAATGTGTTATTATGATAAATTTGTATATAATTTAAACCTTTTTGATCAATTAGACAGAAATAAAGTATCAAATTGCTTCAGAATAAACGATTCTGTACAATCAAATATATAGTGTTATATAAGAAATCAATATTGTACAGGATGACAATAATGTAATTTTGCTTCTATCAAAGCTTATGAATAGTTCTTCCATCGCAATTATGAACAACAGAAGTTTAAAAACTTCTTTTTTCTGTCATTGAAATAGTTAATTACAATTTTGCAACAAAAATGTCTGACATCAAAGTTGCAGCTCATATTGCTTTAAAATATCGTGGTTTATTTCAAACTTATTTAGACTTAAAAAATGTGAAAATTGGACCACGGAGCAAGTCAAAATTTTGTAATTTAAACTTAGTCTCCTTCCAAATTTATATAATATGTCTAGACATCTGAAAAATTGCAGGTTTTAAAAGAAAATGAAATTTAGTTTAAAAAACAAGAAAATAAATGTTCTATAAGTTTAATAAGGAATAATTTGCAGTGTAGATTATAAATGAAAGAAATTCCCATGGAAATGAGATGTGGCAAAATTAATCGATTACTTTGGATGCAAACAGTGTAAGCCAAACAATAACTGTTTTATTGACTTGACCAAGTGGGGCACTTTGGAATTTTGATGATTTAAATATATAACATAACAGTGACAATAGCCATTTAATTCTGTTGTCCTTCCATACATAAGCAGTTAGAATTTTAACCACCTTGCAAGATTAAATATGATGATTTAGCTTTCCATACAGAAACATGCACACAGGTAAATTAAATGCTTAAAGGGGTTCACCAAGGGGTACTCCCCCTTGAGGGAAACCACTGCATATACATGTTGCATAAACTTAATTATCAAATTCATTTATTTTAATTTAAAATGAAGGGTAATTTGTATTAGCAGATTGCTAATTAGTTTTAGAAGAAATATTACTTTAGCATTTATTTTGAAAATTTAAATGCCTGATCTAATTGCCACTCATTGACCTGTTACGGGAACATTGAATGGACAGGCTGAGACTTGACTGGGTTATAGTTACTGTAGTAAAATCCAGCTGAGAGCGGGAATTGTAAGGGTTCTGTGTAGCTAAGCTGTAGGGGCATTAGTTTACACCAGGGATATATTGTTCCTGTCCCCCAAAAAAACATAACAGGTGAGAAAATTTATTAATAATGTTAAGATGTTTGGTAGCATAGCTCATGACAGTAATAGTTTCAGACAATATCCAGAATTTTACCATAAGATGAATGAAAATGTTTTCTAAGTGTTAAATATTGAACCTTTGCAAATGTTTGCATGCAGCCTAATGCATTATTGAATACATCCCCTGACTATAATGATCAGCACTGTCATTGTCTTTGTTGAGGGTTCAGTATTGATCTGTGAATTTTCCTCTTTTTATTCCCAGGTGATAATAATTTGTCATGATTATTGGTATGTTTGTCAGGTGTATTCTGGGATTTAATCAAGTGAAGGTCATTCATCAACCTTTTTACAATGACCATATGATGACAGTACATCTTGATTGACCATGTCAGCAGTTTCTGATAATCACATTGTACTTTTTTCCAACTTGTTATGATCTGTTTGGATTTTGGGAATACCTGTATAAATTGTATCATTAGTATTATGTGCCTCAAAATCAGAAAATGGTCATACCTTTATTGTATCTGAGAATATTTTCTAACATTTTTCTTCACATTTCATTATGCTCATGGAATGGTTTGAAAATATATTCAATATATCTTTTGATTTTGGCATTTGAAGTGCATTTCTAGAAACCTGATTATTCTTACAATTGTGCATACCTTCTCTTTGACATTCACACTTTTTGATTCCAGGACAATTTTTCAGTATAATGTCCATCTTGGTCATGTTGATGACTAACTCTGTTAAGAGTTAACTTCTATATTTTATGGCAATATTTGATAAGAATTCAGCTCTGAACTTTAAAAGCCTGATTTATAGGTCTTTTTAATATCCTGTCTAAAAATCCCATTTAGTGTTCACAGAAATCTCAATTTCATGATATTAAAAGATCAAATTCCTTTTCACTAGTTTTATGAAAAGTTTAATTTGAGTTGTGCTTTCACCAGAAAATGTTAAAAAATCTTTAAACTGTCAATATTTTATTTATGAATACTATAGGTAGAACATTTATTGGAGATTCTTTATTCTATTATGACAGTGTATTTATCTTTATGACCCTGAAGAGTGTTTGTGAATGTCTCCTTCTTTATTTTTTTCTCTCCTGGAATTATAAGTTTGATTTGCTGGGTTCTATTATTTACAACATTTCATCCATTACTTTGATTACCAGATTAGAGTCAGAATATACAAAACCGCATTTAGGACTTCTAAACATTTTATCTTTACAAATTACATTCCGTGTTTATATGCTTTATCTAAGTTCGAAAAACGTGGTATAAGTTCTAACTAAGGATTGATTGGGGTTTGCAGTATGAATTGACTGTGTTGTAGCTTTTCAATATACCGCATACATTTAAAGATAAAATCCTGCAGTGGCATCAAGCTTGGACATGACTTAACTCAGGTGAATATTTAATACAGCCATTTTCCCTTTCTGTTTTTTAATGTGGCTGCATTCATAAAGGTATTTTCAGGTATGTTGTTAAGTTAAATCTGTTTTAACATTTCTTTGTACTTTATGAATGTTTTAATAGTGCTCTTTGCCGAGCCATGTGAGAAAATAGGAGCATGGCACATTGGCCTATTGTATCACTTTGACAAGGTTTCCATTACACAAATCAATATCTACCCCTTTGTTGAAGGTGTGGATTTTGGTTAGATATGATTTGAGATATAGTATATGGTGTGTTACTCCCAGGTTTTGTTTCCAGCTGGACAGGGGCATAGTTGTAGTAGGTAATTGATGAAATTTCAATAGGCAGCTATTTTGTATGTCAGAAGTTAAAGATAGGTAACTAGTTTACAGTTAAAATTCCAGATCTAGATATTGTTTGTTTGCACATTTGTTTTTCTTTTGTTAATTGCTAGTAAGTTTTAGACGCAAGTTAGTGGATATTTTCTATTTGTACATGATTTCATGGATTTATTTACAAGTCATAATATGCAAAAAATATTGTTGGAATCAGTTATTGTCAATAATTCTACCTGCATACACCTGCTTATCTTAAAGAATTGAGACTTCTTAACAAAACCAGCAAATTTAAATCTTCTGTGTTATGGCTAACATAAACAAATATCAGGATAAAAGCATACAATTATAATGTTTACACATGAAGTACTTGATAATGTGTGAGTGAAGTTGACGCGTTCCCCTGCAGGATGTCTAGCAAAGTAATGGACACATCAAAGAAGAAAAGGGGCACAAAAAGAGGGCCTAAAAATTCAGGGGGAACAACTGATGCTTTAAAGAAAGAGGAACGGAGAAAAGCCAGAGCTTATGTAAAGTGTAGACAAAGCTACATATACCAATATTAACACTCAATAAATTTCAGAGCTTCCATAGAGTGAGCATGCAGGAAATAAGTTTTATATTTCATATCTTGCATGACAGAGCTCCAGCAATGGTCTATCACTTTGTAGACTATTAGCATTGTGCTTGCAGAGATTTTTTTTCACTTGACATATTGTTAGTCTTAAATACTTAGCACTGTTTAAACTCTGGTTGTTTGGTTTTAGTGTATCCACAGAAAATGTATATATATATAAATAATGATAAAGATATTTCTTTAGACTGACCGCTCATTTCTTTTACATTTCATTTAGTTTACACATTTACATTGTATCCAAAGCCATATGGTAGTCTGTAGATTTAAAGTTCTCTCTCACTTGACTTGACTTCTATAAGAGAATGGTGCCTGGGGAAATCCCTCTGCTACTAATTCAAACTTTCTATCCACTTCAGACAAAAAGTAACAGTTCAGTCACTCTTATCACACAATAAAATATTCAAAAAGGCAGGAGAGGTTTTCTCTTAATCATCATATCAGTTTTAAAAATGACCTTTAATGTATGCAGCAGTTTGGATGTAAAATTCTAAGTGACTGTGTTTAGATTTATAACCATTTTAATGCTGTGTTTGACTAGGTTGCCAATAGAGATGAGGAAATAGAGCGACTGAACAGGATGTTGGAGGGAGGAAGACCATCAGACGTTGTGGCCCTAGAGGCACGCAACAGGGCAAATGAGCGTATGATTTCTCACCTTAACATTCAGGTATCTTACTTTAATTTTCTAGATATATTACCTGAAAACCTGCTGGACTTTTTTTTATATGTAAAAGTAGCATTCTAGCTGATATTCTATGTGTGTTTGGTATACAGTTGCGCCTTGTTAATCCGGACACTTGTGTTCCCGAGCAAATTTTCCGGAGCATCGTTTGTATATATGAATATAAATTGTTCCTCGCAAATTTTGTCTGGAGCATCGTTTGTATATATGAATATAAATTGTAAATTTTTTTCTGGAAGGTGAAGTGTTCGGATTATTGGTGTCCAGATTAATGAGGCTCCACTGTATATTGAAACATTATTCTCTTGTTACAGTACTATAGCTTTTGTTCTACGATTTAAAGATTTCTATCTATAAATATACTGATTAAGGCTTTGGTCCCTGCAGATTGACTTCCTGCAGCAGAAAACACGAGAACTAGAGAGGAAATACCAGGATTCAAATGCTATCAAGGAGGATCTAGAGGTCACTCTTAGTAAGAGTAAACTGACCATCAGGGATCAAGAGGCACGGATCAAAGAATTAGAACTGGACCTCAGGGATGTTGATAGGGTAGCTAAAAGGCTGGAGACAGACAAAAATAATGTTGTACGGACAGCTGACCGTGAAATGATGGAGGCCAAGGTGGGTCTACTGAAATTCAGCGTGTCTAATTTCTAGTGTATCTTAAAAAAAGTGTGATGTGTATTTAACTCTCATAGTTCAGTGTCTTTTGATGCTCACTGTTAGGGATATTGTTAGGATATTGTATCTTTTAAATGTTTCAGGATGAGCTTGAGAAGTCAAGACACGAACTGGAAGATTTAGACCTCACAATTGCTCAGTTCAAAGCTGTAAGACCATTAAAATCACCCCATGAAATGACCTTTTAGTGATTAATTTAACTTTATTTTATAGTTTTTAAAAACACAAAGCCAATTCTCAAAAATCTTTAAAATTGTGATAGTGTATTGAATTTGATCATTGAAAAAAAAAGAAGAGCAAGAAATGTTGGTTCCAGAAATGAAAGAGAAAGCAGATTTGTTCATGCTGCATTGTTTTATGTTGTGCATACATTTGTATTTTCTTGCTTCAGGAGAATCAGAGATTGAACAAGGAAGTGGGTGAACTGAAAGCTCAGCTGACCGTGAAGGGTGGAGATATACTCCGATTGGAGGATCTACTGGACCGTGTCCAGGAAGACAAGAAACGACTCAGCAACCGCTGTAACAAGATGATGGCCAATGGTAATTCTACATTGTACAATACTTAGTTAGTAGAGAAAGACAAGGGTTTGTCACAGATAAATTATGATCAAGATACAGGAATTCCCATTATTGGCCTAAAACCAAGAAGTATACACTAGATCTGAATCTGCGTTATGTTAAAGCCACACACATTGGTTTAAGAATGTTTGAATCCCTTTTTTTTGCTATGTAGTATTTTGATGCATTGATGAGAATATATGAAATAAGATTTAATGTGCATGTTCTAAAGACACTTTTTTGTAAAAATATTATTATGTTGATATTTTTATTCTGCTCAGAAAAAGAACTGGTTCTAGAAATTGAAAGACTGAAAAGGAAGAATGGCCCAGTGACCACTGTGAATGGCAAGAAAGGAAAGTCAGCCACCAAACTGGATGCCTTCATCCGTAGTATTGAGGAGGAGAGAAACTACTATAAGGACCAGACAGAGGCTCTCCAGAAAATGCTGCGGGGGGAGATCCCATCTCGCAGTCGTAGCCCTGTCAGGTCCAGGCCATCGTCCCGCAGCAGTAGTCCTGTCAGAGATATTGCCAGCAAGTCTGATAAAAAGGTTTCTATTTGTTAGGGATATTAAATGAACAAAGAGGCAATGAATGGTGTGTGATACTTTGTTATTAAATTTGATTTTGTTTTTCAGACTGTTGCACAGTATGAGATGATTATTCGGGTGTTGGAGGAGGAGAGAGATTACTACAAGAAAGAGTATGAAGTTCTGAAGGCAGTGAAGAAGTCTTCCTCCTCAGCCAGAGCTACCCCCACCAAGGTCAGTAGTGATGTTTGTAGTGTAAAATGAGACAGAGCTACCCCTACCAAGGTCTGTAGTGATGTTTGTAGTGTAAAATAAGACAGAGCTACCCCCACCAAGGTCTGTAGTGATGTTTTTAGTGTAAAGTAAGACAGAGTTACCCCCACCAAGATCTGTTTGTAGTGATGTTTGTAGGTAAAGTTAAACAGAGATACCCCCACCAAGGTCTGTAGTGATGTTTTTATTGTAAAGTAAGACAGAGCCTCTCCCACCAAGGTCTGTTTGTAGTGATGTTTGTAGGTAAAGTTAAACAGAGATACCCCCACCAAGGTCTGTAGTGATGTTTGTAGGGTAAAGTAAGAGTCACGCCAACCAAGGCCTGTTTGTAGTGATGTTTGTAGGTAATTAAACAGAGATACCCCCACCAAGGTCAGTAGTGATGTTTGTAGGGTAAAGTAAGACAGGGTTACCCCTACCAAAATCTGTCTGTAGTCATGTTTGTAGGTAAAGTTAAACAGAGATACCCCCACCAAGGTCTGTAGTGATGTTTGTAGGGTAAAGTAAGACAGAGTTACCCCCACCAAGATCTGTTTGTAGTGATGTTTGTAGGTAAAGTTAAACAGAGATACCCCCACCAAGGTCTGTAGTGATGTTTTTATTGTAAAGTAAGACAGAGCCTCTCCCACCAAGGTCTGTTTGTAGTGATGTTTGTAGGTAAAGTTAAACAGAGCCACGCCCACCAAGGTCTGTAGTGATGTTTGTAGTGTAAAGTAAGACAGAGCCACGCCCACTCAAGGTCTGTTTGTAGTGATGTTTGTAGGTAAAGTTAAACAGAGATACCCCCACCAAGGTCTGTAGTGATGTTTGTAGGGTAAAGTAAGAGCCACTCCCACCAAGGTCTGTAGTGATGTTTATAGGTTAAAGTAAGAGCCACTTCCACCAAGGTCGGTTTGTAGTGATGTTTGTAGGTAAAGTTAAACAGAGATACCCCCACCAAGGTCTGTAGTGATGTTTGTAGGGTAAGTAAGACAGAGTTACCCCCACCAAGATCTGTTTGTAGTGATGTTTGTAGGTAAAGTTAAACAGAGATACCCCCACCAAGGTCTGTAGTGATGTTTGTAGGTAAAGTAAGACAGGGCCACTCCGACAAGGGTCTGTAGTGATGTTTGTAGGTAAAGTAAGACAGAGCCACGCCCACCAAGGTCTGTAGTGATGTTTGTAGGGTAAAGTAAGACAGAGCCACGCCCACCAAGGTCTGTAGTGATGATTGTAGGGTAAAGTAAGACAGAGCCACGCCAACCAAGGTCTGTAGTGATGTTTGTAGGGTAAAGTAAGACAGAGCCACGCCCACCCAAGGTCTGTAGTGATGTTTTTAGGGTAAAGTAAGACAGAGCCACGCCCACCAAGGTCTGTAGTGATGTTTGTAGGTAAAGTAAGACAGAGCCACACCCACCAAGGTCTGTAGTGATGTTTGTAGGTAAAGTAAGACAGGGCCACTCCGACAAGGGTATGTAGTGATGTTTGTAGGTAAAGTAAGACAGAGCCACGCCCACCAAGGTCTGTAGTGATGTTTGTAGGGTAAAGTAAGACAGAGCCACTCCCAGCAAGGTCTATAGTGATGTTTGTAGGTAAAGTAAGACAGAGTTACCCCCACCAAGGTCTGTAGTGATGTTTGTAGGGTAAAGTAAGACAGAGCCACGCCCACCAAGGTCTGTAGTGATGTTTGTAGGGTAAAGTAAGACAGAGCCACGCCCACCAAGGTCTGTAGTGATGTTTGTAGGAGTCATGTAAGAGTCATGCCAACCAAGGTCTGTTTGTAGTGATGTTTGTAGTGTAAAGTAAGACAGAGTTACCCCCACCAAGGTCTGTAGTGATGTTTGTAGGGTAAAGTAAGAGCCACTCCCACCAAGGTCGGTTTGTAGTGATGTTTGTACTAGGTAAAGTTAGAGTTACTCCTACCTAGGTCTGTTGTGATGTTTGTAGGTAAAGTTAATCAATGCAAACCTAATGGTCAAAGACCAGACAGCTTTTAAAAACAGTACACAGGTACACTACATCAAAACAAATATATATAAATAAATATCAATTTTGAGTTCTGATGAACAGTGTTGCAATTGTTCATAAAAAATGAAATAAACTATTAATTTATCAAAATTAAAAATCATTAATAAGAAATAGATTTTATTTGACTGGAATAAAAAATACATTGCATCAAGATCCATATAGTTACACCACTTTCTGATTTCATATTGTTTCTTTCTGTTCATTTTAAAAGAAAAAAGTGTTGTCTCTTTTCAATATCTAAAGTTTAAAGAAAGAAATTGCAACTTGTCTTAGAGTATTCTCTCAAGAGACTTATGTTTTCTCCTAGTTTAAGAACAAGGAAACCTCAAACTATTTCAGATATACTAATTGAATGGAAATATGTATTTCAGAGCTTCACATCAGAAGACCCAGAGCTTTCAAAGGTCATCAGGGAGAGAGATGATCTCAAGGCTTTACTGGACAAATTTGAGAGGCACATGGCAGAGGTAGGCAGTTACTATCTATACCACTAAAGGGTATACATGTGTATTTAACAGTTACCCGTGTAAAAGAGCTTTTATAGATAGTATATTAACTCTGAATTTTGTAGATTCAAGCCAATGTTAAAGTCCTGACAGCGGAGAGAGACAAGCTTAACATTATGTATGAGGAGGTAATGAATCCTTAATGAGTTCTAAACTAGGCAGCCTGAGTTGATACCCTGTGTATGAAGCACTTTATTGGAATTTGAAAGTAAATTTAAATTTGTTGCTTATGTTAGACCAAAGACGAGCTTCAGAGAGTGAGGAGAGAGCTGGTGAAATCCCCCAAGTCCCCTAAGACTTCCCTGGCAGCTCAGGCTATTCTGCGACGAGTGGAGACAGAGAGAGATGATGCCCTCCAGGATTTACGACGCATGACAACAGAGAGGGACAGTCTGAGGGAGAGATTGAAGATAGCCACCGAGACCTCGCTGTCTGACAGAGCTAAACTAGAACAGAAGATTGAGGACCTAGATACTGCTCTTAGTCATGTAATTACTCAATGTTTATGTCTAGTTTGTTAATGATGGTATATCAACTATAAATACTATATTTTTATGCCCCGCCATGAATATGGCCGGGGCATATAGTGTTTGTCATGTCCGTCTTCCGTCCTTCCGTCCTTCCGTCCTTCTGTCCTTCCGTCTGTCCTTCCGTCACACTTTGCGTTTAGCTCTGTTCAAAGCTCAGTTTCAAAGAAACTATCCAAGATATTTTTATCAAACTTCATATGCTGATAGATATTGATGAGGGCTATGCAACTGCATCAACATTTTTTGACCTTGACCTTTCCTTTGACCTTGACCTCACTTTTCTTAAATTAGTGTTTAGCTCAGTTTTAAAGATACCATTCAAGATAGTGTAATCAAACTTCATATGTTGATACATACTGATGTAAGCTATTCAATTGCATCAACATTTTTTTGACCTTGACCTTTCTTTTGACCTTGACCTTACTTTTCTTAAATTAATGTTTAGCTCTGTTTTAATGAAACCATTCATGATACTTTTAACAAACTTCATATGCTGATACATACTGATGAGAGCTATTCAACTGCATCAATATTTTTTACCTTGACCATTCCTTTGACCTTGACCTCACTTTTCTTAAATAAGTTTTTAGCTCAATTTTAAAGATACCATTCAAGATAGTGTTATCAAACTTCATATGCTGATACATACTGATGAGAGCTATTCAACTGCATCAACATTTTTTGACCTTGACCTTTCCTTTGACCTTGACCTCACTTTTCTTAAATTAGTGTCAAACTTAATATGCTGATACATACTGATGAGAGCTATTCAACTGCATCAATATTTTTTGACCTTGACCTTTCCTTTGACCTTGACCTCACTTTTCTTAAATTAGTGTTTAGCTCAGTTTTTTAAGAAACCATTCATAATATTTTCATCAAACTTCATATGCTAATACATACTGATGTAACCTTTTCAACTGCATCAACATTTTTTGACCTTGACCTTTCCTTTGACCTTGACCTCACTTTTCTTAAATTAGTGTCAAACTTCATATGCTGATACATACTGATGAGAGCTATTCAACTGCATCAATATTTTTTGACCTTGACCTTTCCTTTGACCTTGACCTCACTTTTCTTAAATTAGTGTTTAGCTCAGTTTTAAAGAAACCATCCCTAATATTTTCATCAAACTTCATATGCTAATACATACTGATGTAACCTTTTCAACTACATCAACATTTTTTGATCTTGACCTTTCCGTTGATCTTGACCTCACTTTTCTTAAATTAGTTTCTGAATCAAACGTCATATGCTGATACATACTGATGTAAGCTATTCAACTGCAGCAATATTTTTTGACCTTGACCTTTCCTTTGACCTTGACCTCACTTTTCTCAATTTGTGTTAAAATGTTGCATTACTAATATACCCTTGGCGGGGCATTCATGTCCTATGGACATATTTCTAGTTTTAGTATAAAAAATGTAATTTAAGTCGCGCCTCATTATGGACAAATATGTTCCAGAGCAAATTGTCCGGATTAATGAAGCCTCCAGATTACTGAAACGTACTATATAAATATAGATTGTTCCCCACAAACTTCTTTCTGAAGATGAAGGGTACGGGCCTTTACCGAGGCTCGACTGTCTACTTGATGTCTGTAAGTTGATAATTTACATATGATGAATTTCAGGTTGAGACAGAGAAGAATGAGATGGCTCTGAGAATTGCCACTCTAAAGGAGGACATTAGGAGTTACGAGGACCAAGTGAAGGAGCAGGCTCTGAGGCTCGGACAGGCTCAGGACAGTAATGCTCAGAGCAGGTCCACAGCAGAGCAAATGAAGTGAGTCTGACTTAATCTCATCTCTAGGGACTTTTTTCATGTATTATTGAAACAAAAATAATGAAATGAAAATAGAATATACTTAATAAGAAATTATAAAATAAAATAATTTAATGATATTGATTTATTCCTCTTTGCAGAATGATAGCTGAGGAGACAGAGAAGTCTTTAGAGGACACACAGAAGAGACTTTCACACAGAGAACGAGAGCTCCATAATCAAGAGGAGCGAGGAGTTGCCCTCGAGGAGAAATGTGCCGAGCTGAAACAGGCTTTAGAGATGGCAAAGGATGATATCAGTCAACTCCGGGCAACCATTAATGCCATGGACAGAGAAAAAGATTCATTACAGCACACAGTAGATGAGAAAACAGAGAAAATAGCTCATCTTAATGAAGATATTTTACATAAGGTAAATGGTGGACTGTGTCTGTTATGTTTCTTCATTCTATAAATTCACCATTTATTACAATGAAAATTCTATTATTCTGTCTTTATATTCTAGGAAAAACTGATGAGTGATCTTAAGATAAGAATGAGTGAACTTGAAGCACAATTAGAGTAAGTAATCAATTTTAACCTATTTTTTGTTTATGATAAAATTAGGCAAGTTAATCTTACACTTAAAATGTTGAAAGGTATGTCATTGATTTTAAATGAAGTGAATGAGGGCAGAGAGCTTTATTCTGATTTAAAGAGCTGTGTAAACTATGACTAAGATGGCCTGATTCAATCAACTGTCCACCTGTGTCCAATCTCAAAACTGAAATGGAGACTGTGCTTTCATAACTTATAAGAAAGTTTCTTTTGAGAGTACATACCAGTATTACATATACCTGAAAACAAGCTTTGTCAAACTGCTGTGAGAAAGTTATCAAATTTTGCAGAAAAAACAGTGCATTTAAATCCATTAAACAAAATATTTGATATGAGCACTTCCTTTCATTGAGTAGATAAAATACATTATTGGGATTTATCAAAAGTTGTGATAAGTACTGAAAAGCAGCTTGAAATATTTTAAAGAATTTTTCACAGTATTGGGAAACATTTAATGACAGAGAGTAATATAGCAAATAGTTATGATATTTGGCATGTTGTCCACTAAAGTTTTCATTTGTCAAAATTTTACAGGGCCAGATAAGGCCCTTCAGTAAACTATACACTTTAATTGCATAATTTAATAATGAAAATCTAACTGTGACAATCACGTGGACATATTTCTCCTTAATTTATATTTTTATCATACCTGTAAAGATTATTTAAATTGTTTTACAGGCATGCTAATGATAATTTGAACTTAAAAGAACGTGAGCTTAAGAGTATGCGTCGTCAGCTAGATAGTACATCGGAGGATTTGAGCGAGTCGAGTCGAAGTAAAGACATCGCTCTGAGGGAGAACCGTCGACTTCAAGATGACCTTGCTGTGATGACCAGAGAGAACCAGAAACTGAACTCGGAACTTCAGGAAACGTTAGAGGACAAGGAACATCTCAAACAACAAGTACAGGATTACATGATGGAGGTCAAACGCATTGAGGACGTACTGGCCAGAAAGGTGGGGATAGGATAATGTCTAATCAACAGAGCTGTAGAAATAATTGTTCAAAAATACAAAATCATTACAGAGATTTGGCAAGTGGAAACTTCAACACTTTAGTAAAATCTTTTGTTTCTATTAAATGTTTACAAAAAAATTCATTCATTCTTCATTTTCATTTCCTAGTTGTCTACCTTTCCATGTTTAACAACTATAAATATTTATGAATTTGATAGTGCATGAATCTAACTTGAATTATTGTGTATGTTGGCATTAAAGGAGAACGAGAGGACAGATCTGTTGGAGCAGTACAGAGCTCTATCTGCGGAGGCTGAACAATATCAGACTTCCACCCATCAGCTGGAGAGTGAGGGATCGAATCTTCGTTTAGAACTCATGACAAAGGACTCAGAGCTCAGGAGAGCTCGCGATAAGCTTGACAATCTAGAAAGAGAGATTCAGGAGGTATGACTTGCAGAAAGATTCTAATATATATAGATATAGATGTTCTATAAGTAAGAAACAGCAATTTTTTCTATTGTTCGAATTTTTTAAAAACTTTTTCTTTATGATAGGTAGTTTTTCCTAAGGTGAGGTTTATAAGCATATAGATACATGTGTATTTTTATCCAGTTTTCTTTCTTCAGTTGAAATTTTTTGTACTTTTTTCGAAGTTGATAGTGTTAACTGTTGATACATTAATATGTATTACTGGTTTGTTATAAAATGTTCTCTGACCCACTTAGTGTTTTAGAAAAATAGGTTTATCTGAAATTGGGTATAATCAGGGATTTTTCAGCCTATTTTGGGAAACACCATTTTTGGGGAATTGGGAAAAAATTATCGGCTATTTGATGAAATTGGGAAAAATTTAAAATGTTGCTTAAATCATGTATTCAGGTGTAATTCATTTAACATTTCAGCATGAACTCTAATTTGAGCAACCAAACAGACAATTAAATATGATCAAACTTCATACAAGATCAATTATGAATAATAGACTAGCTAATAAAATTAAAATGACTTCAATGAGTATAAAGTATTTACCTATACAACTTAGGGTAGTACATGTGTGTATGAGATTCCAATTTAGGTCATTATAGAATCTGTTCCTGGAGATTATAAACCTCCTGCAAATAATTATACTAAGTACACATTTTCTCAAAGTCCTCTTTTGATATGTATTAAACATTGAAAATATATTTTTCCATCTGAAATAATGCCTGCAGTCCTTATCTTTCACTCGTAGATCAATTGAGTAGGTGGAAATAAATTAATATATCTATACAATTACACAATATCACCATTTTGAGGAAAACAGATGAAATTCGGATTAAAAGTTGGCGATGTTTTTACAGTGTTTTTAAACATGTGTTATGACTGCAGCTTTGCTAAATGAGTTAAATAGATGAAAATTACAGACAATCTGACAATTTTACTCTGTGTTCTTCCAAGATAATTGAACATAAAAGCATTGTTCACCAATTGGGAAAAATACTGCTGCCAAATTGGGAAAATTTGAACTCATTTTCAATTGGGAATGGGGCCAAATTTCGGCCCCTGAGAAGGTACTGGTAAATCCCTGATAATTAAATTGTAAAACTGTAAGTCAATTTGAATCAGTCAAAAAAATTAATTAATGCTTACTGGTACAAAAAAAGAGAAAGAAATTGAACAACTTTACATGACTTATAGACATGAAGGATAAAATAAAATTTTGCTAATGTTAACTTGTTTTCTTACAGCACTTGAATGCTGAGCAGGCTTACGAGTTACAGGTGTCCAATCTGACACGGTCCGTCGGCAATCTGGAGGAGGCCATGAGACAAACAGAGGAGGATAAACAGAACCTTCTGGAGGATCTGACCGCTGTCCGAGAACTCTGTGCCAAACTGGAGGCTACAAAGGAATCCATACAACGACAGCTTACCTCCGCCAGCCTCGACAAGGAACAGGTACAGACTGACTTATCTCCCTTGTATACTCAGATGATTGGTACAACTTCTTATATGATATACAATATACCTCATAAATTTATTTCATGATTTAGTTTGGGTATACATGTGTTTCTCGTAAAAGTAAATTTGTGAGTATCAAATTAATTTTTCAGTGTTCTATACATTTGTATTCATTGCTAACCAGGGTTTTTTTTTCCTTCTTTATTTTCCTTCATAATTTATATGAAATTGATTTTTTTTTTTCTTTTTTACATTTGACTGTTTAAATTTAAGTCTATCATTAAATATTTACATTTCCAATAAATTTCCCCTATGATTCTTAATCATTCTTTACAAAAAAATAAAACAGTTCATTTTCTCATGAACTACCATGGATGAGCATGAATATCTCCATTGTTACGTCATAATACCCTAGTGCAAACTGATTTTTGCTTTAAAAATGACGGTTGAATGGCGTAATTTGTGGCAACTCATCAGAAAAATAATGTAAATATAAGAAATGAACTTTATTTTTGCCAACGCGCTTCTTGAAATATGCCAGCGTGAAGCATCGTAGTTCATGTCCACATGAATCTTCAGAAATTAAATTCATTTCAAAATATTGTATTTGAACAAATTTATACCAAAATGAAATTAAATGAATCTTCTACTTCTGAATTCCAGTAAGTATTTTATAAATGGTATTTTGTGGTTTACTTGTAGATGTCCACCTTGATTGAGGACATGAAGCAGGAGACAGAACTCCTGAAGCAGCAGTTATCAAGTGAGAGAACCAATGCTAAGAATTTGGAGGGACTGTTACAGAACAACAGAGAGAAGGAGTTTACCAGTCAGCTGGCACAGCAGGAAAAGTCCTCCGAGATCCAGATGTTGAAGGACAGACTGGCACTCAACGAGAGCAAAATGTATACAGCCTTGTTAACTATAGCATCACTCACGTTCACAGTCACACATCTTATATAAAAGTTATCTTTACATTCACAGTCACACATCTAACAAAAAAGTTATCTTAAATACTTCAATAATCAGTTAAAGAGCTATAAAGACTTTGTAAATTTGAGTTCTGAAAAGCTCTTTATCTTTATTGTCTGCATTATTAGATTTTCATCAAAATTTTCAGACAAAGTCAGGGACGTGAAATTGCATCATTGAGAACTAGGAATGTTGAATTGGAAGGAGATGTAGAGAGATTACGTCGTAACTTAACAAGTGAGAAGTTCGAGAGAGAAAGAGCCATTCAGGAACTCCGTCGACACAACATTGCCCCACCCATCCCCACCATGGAGTACAGTACTTATCCTAGCTATTCCAGAACTTACACCTCCATGACAAGGTCAAGGTCACGATCCAGGTCCAGATCACCCAGTCCATCCAGGTCAGTCTTACGTTTATTATTCAACAAAAGACTCTTTGATGTGACTTCTTCCTGTTTGAATGATACATGTATGCATCAATTTAAACTGTAACTTTCATTATGTCCAGGTATAGAAGTCCTGATACATCCTACCTGAGTTCATCTGCCAGACGAGCCCGCAGTCCTGAAAGAAGCAGCTATTTAGAGGACCCTTCAGAAACATCCACTAAAGGCATCGGTCAGGATGTCTTATGATCATCACAAAGCAGCAACTTCTCTTCACAAACTTAGATATAAACAAAGTAATATATATTTATATGTTCGGTATGCCTGTAGATTTTTACACAAGGTTGAATAAGTCCTAATGTATGTGGTATGCAAGAAATCCACTGCCCTGATCTGAGTTAGATATTGTATAAAAAATAAGGAGGAGAAAGTCTCTTGAACTTTTGAGATCATCAATTTTAGATTTTTTAAGAAAGAGCACATTTCTGGTGGACCTATTTTGTAGAGATAAGTCTGGGTGTAGAAGGTATTTTTTAGTATCTAGCTACATGATATTTTAGATATTTTTGTCTGTGATATTTTCAAATTTCCATCAGTGTATTACTGATGAATATTATGTACTCAATGACTTCTCTTAATTAGTTCATTATTATGTAATTGCCATTATTAAATATAGAATGATGTTTTTAACATCAGAGTATGGTTAAATTTATGATTCAATACATGGAAGTTATTACTGACACAAATGAAAATTAAATCCTTTTTAGTTTTCTTTTACTCTGACTTTATTTGTATTTTGTCAATCTAAGTCTCTTTACAAATCAAGTTTCCGTCCATAAATATTTATATAAATATTGCCAGTTTTGTTTGTATTTTTGTTTTAGCGATTTTTTATTTTTATTATTTAAACAATTTATTTCGAATATTTAGTAATATTTAAGAAATTTTGTTGTAAATTTAATGTCGATCAATGAATATGATTTGTAGCGATATCATGCATGCATTTGAGAGAACAAATTATATATTCCATGATCAAAATATGCATTTAGTTTTATATTTATTTCCAGAAAGTGCTGAAAATTAGGTAAATGACATTCATCTGAGTTGTTTTGCAAACATTCTAGGAACATGAGCCACTTTATTTTGGGGTGTTAAAGAGTGTGGAATTTTCTTTGGTATTTTGAGTGTAAACAGATACTGTGGTCTGATGAAATCAAACTCAGTTGAAAAGTTTGTCACAACCCTGACTTCAATGCATTACATGTAAAGAACATGAGACAGGAAAGTGAATCTGTCATATACACCACTCCTGAACCTTAATACATTCAGGCAATATCATGTTCACAGTACATGCAAGTCACAGTATTTGTGAGGCAATCTGCTTTAACACCATTTGTTTCTTTCAGTACTAAATAATATAAATCATATTTACAGAATAAATTATTTATAAAGATGAGGAGTTGATTTCTTTATACAACATATAATCCAGTATTATATAAGATCTTTTTTAATTTAACCAATATTTTAATATATTATTAATATATACATCATAGTCCAGTATCAGTCACAATTGCCTTCAATTGTGTTGGGTTCTTTTTTAAAAAAAAAAAAAAAAAAAAAAAAAACTTTACCAGTCTAGTAAATGGATGACCTTTGCCAATCAAGAAAAACAATACTTTATAACAATAACAATTTATTTACAAATGTACAAAAAAAAATCAAAATGGAACTTGGGCTCCGGTGGTATCGAGGCTTAGGAGACATCAGATGAATGACGCGCAGTAGACATCAGATGAAACACACAAGAAGCTAGTGCAAGACCATAATGTCACAGAATGATCACTAACACGTCTCCCAAACGAAGAACCATATTCATATAACATGTCGGCCGGAAGTACCAAACATCACCGGAAGTAGACGTCATCGGATTCAGGAAGTCCTCTCATAACGTAGAATTAACATCAGGGAAGGCTATCCACATCTACTAAAAGGTCACTGGATTGTAGTCACTCACACTCATAAATGCAAAAACAAAAGGCCCAGGTTTCAAATGGTCCACACAGGTACCAGTAATGCATCCCATTTCCACACAGCATGGGAGCCGCCCAATCCACTAAGTATGGGTCATATTTTTACACCGTCCACACAGTTTGGTGTCCAGAACTAATCTGACAAACCTGGCCAAAACCCTGGATAAGTGTAACTATTAATATCATCAAACTTGACAAACGGGTTTACCAAGCGATGCCGCAGCTCTTTATGCTACAATTCAGTGACCATCGATGCGTGCAAAGTTAAACACTCCACAATGTATGGAAGAGCATTTGGAGCAATATTTACAATATTGTGACAATCATGCATTGTGGGATAAATTTCTACAGTGATATTACAGAATGCTGACATGGCATCGTTAGATACTGTAGATTCCTTATTTTTCGCGAGTACTTATTTAATATCGCGAAATGGCTTTTTATTGTCAAATCGCGAGAACAATAATTTGCGAAGTGGTGCTTCTCGCAAAATTTAGCAATAATTAATTCCTTGCATATATTTAAGAATCTACAGTAAGTCTCGATGAAATATGTCTATTGTCCTGGAGCAGTCCACAGAGATCATCGCCTTCTCATTTTAACGTCACTTCAGCCGTAGATTTTTTTCACACCGAAACAATCGGGAGGCGTTAATATCATTCTAGGAACTAACCAGGCACACATTCTCCCCATTCTTGAACCCCTTTTTAGATCACCTGAGTCACTCAGGTGACCTATTGCTATCGGTTTTTGTCCGTCGTCGTCCGTCTTGCGTTAACATTTAAACATGTTCAGCTTTTTCTCTGAAACCGCTCAACCAATTTTGGCATATAGCATCTATTGGGGAAAGGGGACCATGAAATTTTGAATTTCATGGTCCCTTCCCCCTGGGGCCAGAGGGGTGGGGCTAAAACGACCAAAATTAATGCAATCTTTAAAAATTTTCTTCTTTACTCCTGGACATCAAGCAGTCAAACTGTTGGCATGATTGTAATAAACATTGAGCCCTCTATCAAAATTGTGAAATTCAAAGCCCCAGGGTCAGGGGTTCTGGTGCTAGGGTGGGGCTATATAGATCATATAGTGAAAGTGCATTATTTCTTTGAAAATCTTCTTCTCTGCTCCTGGGTATTAAATAAACTTACGAAGTACATAGTTATGTTGAGCAAGACTGCCTCTTCCAAAATTGTGAATTTCATGGCCCCTGGGTCAGGGGTTCTGGTGTTAGGGTGTGGCTCTATCGATTATATAGTGAAAGTGCATTAAATCTTTGAAAGTCTTCTTCTCTGCTCCTGGGCATTAAATAAACTAACTAAGTACAAAGTTATGATGAGCATGGCTGCCTCTTCCAAAATTGTGAATTTCATGGCCCCAGGGTCAGGGGTTCTGGTGTTTGGGCGGGGCTCTATTGATTATATTATAGTGAAAGTGCATTAAATCTTTGAAAATCTTCTTCTCTGCTCCTGGGTATTAAATAAACTAACTAAGTACAAAGTTATGATGAGCATGGTTGCCTCTTCCAAAATTGTGATTTTCATGGCCCCAGGGTCAGGGGTTCTGGTGTTAAGGCGTGGCTCTATTGATTATATAGTGGAAATGCATTAAATCTTTGAAAATCTTTCTCTCTGCTCCTGGGTATTAAATAAACTAACTAAGTACTTAGTTATGATGAGCATGGCTGCCTCTTCCAAAATTTTGAATTTCATGGCCCCAAGGTCAGGGGTTCTGGTGTTAGGACCGGGCTCTATTGATTATATAGTGAAAATGCATTAAATCTTTGAAAATCTTCTTCTCTGCTCCTGGGTATTAAAAAAACTAACTAAGTACATAGTTATGATAAGCAAGAGTGTCTCTTTCAAAATTGTGTACTTTATGGCCCCAGGGTCAGGGGTTCCGGTGTTAGGGCGGGGCTCTATTGATTATATAGTGAAAATGCATTAATTCTTTGAAAATCTTTTTCTCTGCTCCTGGGTAATAAATAAACTAACTAAGTATATAGTTATGATGAGCAAGAGTGCCTCTTCCAAAATTGTGAATTTCATGGCCCCTGGGTCAGGGGTTCTGGTAGTATGGTTGGGCTCTTTTGATTATATAGTGAAAATACATTAATTCTAAATGCTTTAAAGAATAAGAGAATTATGGAAGAATATCTATTGTATAATACAAAAAGTACTTTCATAGTTTTAATGATCAGGTACACTTGGAAGTAATAGATGAATAAAATTGAGACAAAAATAACTTATCTTTTTTAATTGTTCTTCAAAGGCCAATAGAGGCCAATGTGAGAAGTAATAATTGGGTTTTAAAAATAGACAGTTTGTTAATAGTCTTGGTCCTCTTGTTTTACAATCATCTTTTAAAAATATTTCCACATTGATCTCGCTGTACTGCATCAAAACGGGGGGGGGGGGGCTTTCAATGAACATTTTCAACAGTAAAAGGTTATGTTTGGGGAAAAAATGTGGTGGGGGTGATACAACATGCCTGTTATAGACACGTTTCCTCTGCATTGTGTTTGTTTAATGTATAAGGTCCTTTGCCTGAACAATTCCACCCAGCTCTACACAAAAATTAATATATATCCGCATGTTTTGCCGTCTTCATCAGATTTCTATAGCCTGACGACAAATCATTATATGATATCCGGATTTCTTTTCGAAAAATCTAGTATCAAACTTGCACAAATAAAGTCAAGAGAGAAATATGATGAGTATAATTTCGTAAAATTTCTGTGTCAATTAGGACTTTTAATATACATAGATATACTAGTTACAGAATTCCAACACCTGATTTCGAGACTGCTGGATACCCCTATCATCGACACAATAAAAAGTCATTTATAAATTAAAAAAAATAAAATATTTTCGAAATATTTCTCTTTTTTTAATGTATAATTATACCAGTTTCACCAGAAAACGTTGATTAGAAAGGAAAATAATCAGAATGTCTCAATAATTTCCGAACGCTCCCTCGTACAAGATATGTTATTAACCACCGATATGTTTGACATTGTAATGAGACAAAAACACATTTTTGTCATGATTTGATGGATGAAGTATAATGATGAGTGTTTCTAAAGTTCCCGATAACAAATTACCATAAAACACTTGTAATTTGTATCGTAATTATGCGTGAATACTGTGCTGTAATTCACGAGCCGATGTTACATGTCTATCTTGACATTGTATAAGCTTCATCTGCCCAAGAGCAAAGATCAGGTCGGAGGACTTAAATATTTATAGATGAAAATTAATAATGGATTCTGTTGATATCTTGTTTACACAGATAGGGGGTTTAAACTGAACTTTCAAGTTTTAAGCGCTTGTGCTTAAAAGCTGATAAGGAGTTGGGCGTGATGTACAAATATGGCACCAGTGAAGGTAAGATGGCTTATTTTGTACATTATTTTAAAAATAAAACAAAAATGTTCAAAACACTTCAAAATTTGTTAAATTAAAACTATAACTTAGAACGTTAACATATTTGCTTTCAAAATAGGATTCATTGGTATTTTACAATTTATCTATGACTAAATTCAAAATTATAGGTTGACTAAATTTTATGATGCATTAAATCATTTTTGACAAAGACTCCAAACATTATCATATTTTACGTAGGTAAAGTGCCTTGATCCACGCCCTATATCTTCACGATCCTTTCTCTACATGTAGCTATCATGTAAATTTTGAATTTACTAGGGGGAGGTAAATTTTGCAAATATACCCCCCCTCCCTTAGTAAATTCAAAATTTACAACATGATATAGCTGTCGCTATCTCATCGACTTCTGGTTATTTTTCGTAAGTTTTACATATCGGATTTTCCCCGAAGCAGAGATAAATTTTTCTTTGCAGATGATACTTAAGAAATATTTTCTTATCTTCCCCATTTCTTAATTTTCTATGTATAGTGTTAATTTGATTATTTCATAGAAGATTTTTTTTTTCCCCTCTTGCAAAAATTAAAAATTATCTAAAAATATCCGTAAATTTTATCTATCAGCTAGCTTAAATCTACTGAGATCATTTTGGTTTCATAAACAAAACAAAAAACAAACAAACAAGCAAAAATATTTATCTATTCGTACATAAACTTAAATTGGATGTGACAATATACATGTTTTCTTGAAGTGACTGATTTTGTTAACGAGATTAACAGTTGATATTGCTCAAAATCAGTCAAATCTATCTACGTAATATCTGTGTGTGAATGTCTCTGCTCTACATACGGTAGATAAGACCCCCTCCCCCCTTTATAAACCAGGCTGAAAATGTTTGGACCCCCCCCCTTCCCCCGGGAAAACTTGAACCCTCTTAGGAAAAACGAAATGGTTATAAAGCAAAACCGTTTTTCTTTGAGATTCCTCTCATACCTCAACTCTTCCAACCCTCCCTTAATTCTTAAAATATCATTGGAAATGGACCCCTTGCCGTTATAAAATTCCTGGATCCGCCTTTGCAGTAAAGCTAGCAACATTTAAATAAAACTTGCTCAATTCAGTAGATTTAGAACACCCCCGTTCACGTGGTTTTATTGATAGTTTGCCGGAAAGGTAATGGATTAAACAGGTCTCGGGGGCAAAGGTAAGAACTACAAATCTAAATATTAATTTTAATTAAAAATACAGACATAGATTTAGGTATTTTGTCCTTTTTGTTTTTTTTAACACCTGAAATAGCAAGACTTGTGTATATTTTTTTTCCAAAATCTTGAATGCAATAAAACATACTCATTATAAAGCATATTCACAGAAATGCATCGAGATAAAATACTAAAAGTATAGAATGACGTACGGTATCAATATATTTCATATTTCTATCCATCACTAGAGCTGTTCGACTAACACACAGGTTTACATGTAAGAGCTATGTCACACATGTGAACCTATGTACATGTATAGTTGACAATTTTATAGGTCAGAACCACCATATATATATATCCTTACAAACACCGACAATAGTAGATCCGATTTGATATATGCATATATAAATCATGGGCGGATCCAGGATATTTCCTAAAAAGGCATCCATTTTCACTGAAAAAAAAATCGACTAGATAATTTTTGGAATTAAAAAAAAAAACGAAACAAAACTATCTTGATGAAGGGTGTGGGTTAGACACTACGTGTGGACAAACCGCTTTCTTTTACACATATGACTCTATATTACTCTTTCTTAAAAAAAATACCAAACAGTGAGGTGCATGTTTCCAGGGGGAGGGGTGGGGTTCTTACGTTATCCTTTGGTAACTTTATTATATAGGTTTAATAGATCTGAAGTCACAAGGAGGGTGTCCGGAACCCCCCCCCCCAATCTTCTCTAGATCCGTCATATTTTGTAAATTTACACACAAAAGTCTAAGCGAGCTGATTTAGTTTCTTTATTGGAGTCCAATGGGGAGAGATAAAAAGGACGCAATCTTCAAATAAAATGTGTTCTTGAAAGAAGCTTTTGGTCAATTGCTCTTTATCTTGGGAAAAATTGGGTTTTCATTATTTTCTCACATTCACGATTTAGTGTTTTAGTGGCTGTAAAACAACGTGTGAAAATTGTAATCAAGTACTTTCACTAAAACTTCTTTCAATTTTTAAGATACGTTTTTTGTCTTATTATAATCATTATAACTTTGATATTTGAATTGTTAATTTTTTTTTCTTTAAACAGGTTCTTCTTGTGTGGTCATTTCACAATGATTTTAATGGATATCGTGTATACATCAAAATTAATCTTTATTTCGCAATGCATTTTTAAAATTGTCTATTTGATGAGGAAGAGTGTCTACCGTTTTCAAATTACTATATATAACCATAGACTTGATTTGACTTAGTCATGTAAATTAAGTTTTCATGTTTTCCAGTTTTGTACACAGTAATCATTTTTCTTTCTTATTCATTAGCTCAGGGACAGAATTGTCCACATTTGCTGGCTCACAGCATTTCTTTCAATTCGAAGATCAAAAATTGTATTTGCATGGTACTTGATGTAGCAAACTAAAGATGTAAGATTTAAAAGCAATGAAATGTGGAAGCTTTCGGTGGATTGATTTCTATGTCTGTCCGTCTTAGGTTCACCATCCTCTGCTTACTCATATAAAATCTTTCCGTAACGTTTACGATTATCCAAAAGAAATGATAATTAAAACGCACAATATTTCAGCATAAACCTTGTGAGGCAAAATTGACAAAAATGGCCTTTTAACTTCAATATTTTATGAAGGAATGACAGTCATTTATTCCAGTTAGAGTTATCTCTCCTATCAGAGGGTCAATAAACCTTAAAATTAAGATTTGTAAATACTTCGCAGTCGATGTCTTGTTACATTACATGTAGCTTGATGATGTTTTCTGCATTTATGTTTTTCTTCACCAACCAAGAATTATTACCAGTGAAACGGATAAATCTCATTGACACATTGCATTCAGACATTCTATTTAACTGAATTAGACTCTGCTCCCGACCACATAATTGTTAGTAGTTACATAACACGACTTTTTGGCTCAATTAGGTATTTTTTTAAAAGAAAAACATTGCTGGGTCAGCTTTCAGGGCCTTTATATAAAATCCACAGTGAATCACGTAGAGCCACATGTCTGGAGATTGATTACGATCAAGGCAAACACGCATTGTAAAGTTTTAGGGGAAAAAAGGATTGGTTAGAATTTACTTTGTCTGGACTTTTTATAATCATGGAGGTAAGACTGTTTGCCTTTTTGATCCTCCACCGCTGAAACCGGGGGGAGGGGGGCTATAGGTTCCCATTGTCTGTCTGTCTTGCAGTCCGTCTAGCTGTCCCTCTGTCTGTAAGTCTGTCCAACCTGGTTTTCCGCACTTTCTTCTAAACGTTTGTAGATATTAAGCTGGTTTTGTGTACGTGACTGTATCTAGATGAGTTACAGATCAAGTTTGCTTTCCTTCTTCTTCCATGATATTTGACGGAATTACGACGTCTTCTATTTTTTTTTAAGGGACTGAACCCGATTACACTTGCCGGTGGGAGACTATTATTGCTTATGGAATTCTGAGATTTAGACCCTCAGGGATGTTTGTATTGGAACTTAATTACTTTTTTTTCATTCACTGCTAAACTATATTTGAATAAAAAAATATATTGTGCTTTTTCGCAGTACTGAAAGTTTTTGGAAAATTAATTTCCTCTTGAATTTGTTTTCAATAACAAAAAATGGTCGTTTAGAAGCTTAAAACTTGTCATATTTGCCTTAATAAGTGCACCACATAGAAGAACTTATATGTTCTTGACAGTCTGTAAGTCCTTTTGTGTATAAGGGAAAAAGAAACACAAATCTTAGCGCAAATTAAGCCGTAGGCATTCTTCTATAAAAGCCTATACTTTGTTTCACTATCCGGTGACAAGATGAATGACATTGTTAGTGCTTTGACTTATTTCAATAGAAAAATGCAATGGCATCAAAAGTTAAACAAAAATCTCTCTATCGAGGTGGATATGAATTGAAAGTGTGTGGGCGGATCTTTAAGAGGGTGTGGACCTCTCTACGTTTGCAATAAGCCTGGTGATGAGCGGCCCAAAACACAAACATTTAAAAAATGTAGGTGTAATGTTTAAGGGTGACCTTCATTGCATTTAAGTAAAAGTTGGAAAGTTCTGAAACCCGTGCATTATTTACACTGTCATATTAAAACAAATAACTGATAAAATTAGCTGTCTGTGTTACGGATGATTGATTACTACAACACTGAGAAATAGTAATTGAGTTTATGAATAAACTGTAGGAATGATCATATGGCAAGGTAAATTTATAACCGGGGGCAAAGGTTAAATATCTATTTATAACCCGGTCTATTTAAATAATTGATTTCCGCTGTACAAAATATTTTGAAATGGGTGATACTTGAGTTGTTCATCAGCCGCAAGTGTCCTGGTGTTTGCTAGTTCAGGTAAGAATTCGGGTAAAATTGTCATTAATTATTGTAAGTATAGTTGTAAATATACATTTATGTACACTGTAAAACTCGTTCATCGAGTTTTAATTTATGAATACATCTGCAATCATAGCACAGATTACCTACACATTCCTAAGATGCCATTTTTTCCTGTATATAGTCTCTCTCTTATCAATGATAGCGATCTGTGCCTTGCCTACTTTGACAAGCCTACCGGTTTTGTGGTAAAAAAGGATATTTATTTTAAAAAAAAAATAAATCGTTATAAAATATTTCCATGTGATACTTCAATCTGATGTAACAACTGTTTAATCATTACAGGTACAATATATCTTAGACCATGTCGGGAATTATCCGCGCACTAAGGCGTGCGGCAGGACGGTTGTCATTTAGACGCAAGAAAAAACGTCGACGAGGTCCAAAACTCATTCCTGGGCAACAACCAGACGAAGAATTTGAGAAAACGAAAGAACAATCAGAAATCAATTTTAAGAAGGAAGCAGACGAGGAAATTATAGTTGACGTACACAGAGAAACAACAGACGTCATTGACGCCGTAGACGGGTCAGACGATAAAATGGATGACAAGAGGAAATCATCAGAGAATACATCGTCTTCATCATCGGATTCAGATCACGAAGGGACTCCGGCTGTAACCTCAAAATGGAAATTTCGAAAAAGGGTGAAAGAAAAGATTCTGCAGAAACAGTTTGATGAGTGTGACGGTGAGGTTTGTGTGGATATGCTGAGGACCCCCACTGTTAAAGCTTTCACCGCCCTCAAAAGGAAATTAAAAAAATCAGATAAAACCTGGATCCAGGGCTTTCTGGACGGTGGCGGACTTGACGTCTTGTTGGATGCTGTTGACGTCATCAGTAGTCGACGTGTTACGGAACTGTCTGAAGCCTTGAAGCTTTTAGAATGTGTTTCCTGTATTACCAAGCTGGTAAATTCTAAGATGGGACTGTCTTTCTTAGTTCAGCACGACAGTTATACAAAGAGACTTGTTAAGGGTAAGTGATTGTTTTCCAAGTCAGTTAAACTTATGGTTGTCAGGTGATCCAGACTTTGTGTTCTTTTCAAATGAATTCCCTTGAAGAAATCCTCTAAACCAACACATGTGCCGCCCCTTCCCAATATTTCCCTCCGATGAATTGTTTGTCAGGCTTTTGAGGGAGGTTCCCCTTTTTGCCTTTTAACTTTATACCTTTTGAAAAAAATGGATCCACTATGAAAATATAGTATCTTGATCGTTTGTAAATGTTAATATTTTAAGCTATATCTGCAAAGAAATTAAATTGAAAGGAATCATATTTCAATAACAATCTCTAGTAGTAAATTTTATTTATAGTCGGACTATATACATTTAACAAAACAAAAATAACTATCTCGAGAAGTCTCCGTCCATTCGTCTCTCTGTATGTACGTAAACGGTTATAAAAATTTGACATACAAGTTATAAGCAATCCAATTTTAACTGGAAAATTGTCCAAACCAAAAATATACATATGATATGGATGCTCATATGTTGTAACTGACCGTTTTATGCTAGAGACAGTCTTTTAATAAAATTTTATTCTTCTCTTTATATAATAACCTGTATTAAAGCCAAACCTGCACATTTCGTCCATCTATAGATTCTTGTTGAGTGCATCCACAGGATGTAGCATTTGATATTACATTTTACGCTTGATACGTTATGGAGAAGGACAAAGTTTTGTCTGTTTACTGCACTAACAATCAAGGTCCATTTCTTTGGTTGTTAGTATGGGAATTAATGTCGCATCAGCTGCAGTAAAAATACATAACCTGCGTACATGTTATATAATTTTTTCTACAATAGCTGCAACGTTAATTCCCATACTAACAAAGAAAGGTATTTTTGTCCCCTGCTTTCACTTAAAGTGGGGGATATTAATTTGGGTCTGTCTGTCCGTTCGTCCGTTGTGCTGTCCTTCTGTCTTTCTATAACACTTTCGTTTCTGCGCGATATCTTTTGAGCTTTCGCGATGAATTTTTACATAACAATTCCCTATGGCATAAAGAATACCCCTTTTAATTTTGAGGTCATAAAGTCAAAGGTCAAGGTCATAAATTCGTAAATTCTGTCTGTTTTAACACTTTCGTTACCTCGATATCTCGAGAAGTCTTTGAGCTTCTGCAATGAAATTTTACATAGCAACTCCATATGGCCTAAGGAAGACCCCTATTGATTTTGCGGTCAAAAGGTCAAGGTCGTAAATTAAGATATTCTGTTTGTGTGTAACACTTTCGTTTCCGGGCGAAATCTCAAGAAGCTTCTGAGCTTTTGCAACGAAATTTTATACCATAACTCCCTTTGGCCCCGCCCGCCCCTCTCAAAATGTCCCGTCCCGTTTTTTTTTATTTTGGTCATTTATTTTCAAAAGTTAATTGGAAATTTGTTGGCATCGATCACGCTCATAGTTTTCGAGTTACTCCCTCGTGTGGCACTGGTAAAAGTCGTGCGTATCAGTGGTATACCCATCACTCCAAATTCTTCTGTATGGGTCCAGTCACACAGTGACTGACTTTAGACAGTGATAAACCCAATACATAAATAAACACAAATATAAGTATATAGGTCCTGGCGACCGTTTCAGTAACAAGTCGTAACTTGAGATCTCAGAGTGTGTATAACCTCATATACAGGTACATGCCATGTGACGTCATACATGTCATTGACTGTTGGTGCGTGGTGCTTGATCGAGTCACTCAACGTTGCTATTGCACGGACCTATATAACCTAGCGGTATATCGGTTCCTGCTTATAGTCTAAATGTAAAAAAAATATCAGTATAGTTAGGGAAGGATTTAGATATATATTGAAGTATACCATGCTTCGCATATCGCAACGTTTCTCTACCACTGACAAAACTTTTGACCAGCTAGTTAATGATGTCAACTAGTCTAGAGAGTTTCTCGACACAAGTTTCAACCCACTTTTACCACCCCAAGTCAAGGAAACGTAAACTATAGGATGTGATAGCTGTCTCATCTTGACGTAATAACTATGTTTTGTATCTCAACAAGCGTAAACTCACTGACTGATGCGGTCATTCACATTAATTTTGGTCAAGACTGTTGTATATAGATAGGACTTCCGGAAACAATGACCATTGTGCAGTCGTTTGTGTAGTAAAATTGTTACGAATTCAGAAAATAATAATCCTGAATCCATGGTCCTAGTGGGCGAAACCTCGTTATATTAGAGACGTTAATGAATTAGGATTTATCGATCGAAATGAGAGGAATTATCTACGTGTTTAAAGTTTGTCCTTACAGACATTGAAAACTGTTATATAATGTTGTAGTTCTTGTCAGATGAAAAATATACACCATTTATGAATGTTATGAATGAATGGCATGTAATGAATTCATGAATGAAATCAATATCATAAAATTTTCTGTGTCTATAAAACTGTACTCTCTCTAGCTCTCCTTAAGGGGATAACTTCTTTTACACCTCTAAGTTCGCTACTGTAATTTTCCATCTCACTGCCGTATATATTAGACGTATTACACAGTAACTCGGATAGCTTTTGCAAAATTGGAGGAAAATGTAAAACTTTTAGGATAATTTATGTTGACGTTTTTTCCCTGAAAATTTAATACGTTTATTTGTTCAGAAAATTATTGTGATTTAATTATAGAGAAATAATTTTGTTGGTCAAAAGTTCATTAAATGGTAAATAACATAGCACACACTTTGTGCAATTCTTCCATACCAGGCTTCGTGTTTATGTCTGTATGGAATGTTGTCGAGTTTTGATCAACCGTATTTGTAGGAGTTAAACAAATTAAATCGTCACTTATGTGTAAAAGAACTATGTATACAGATCCGATTTGTTGCTTATCACATCCAGTGATATTTTGATTGGAAAGGGACAAAAGTTGTACGATAAAACACCTCGCGGGATTTGATTCCAAAATTTGATTTTGCTAGGTATGGAGAGTGCTGATCTCAGGTTTTTAATTTAATCATTGATGAAACCTTGAACCGACGCGTAAACCCCTAATCAAAATAAGGATCCTAACAAAGAGAAAGCAGCATATAGATAAAAATATGTAAAGAAATCTGGAATCAAGAAGAAAAGACACATCTTTTTAGAATTATAATGCAGGAAAAAATCAGGAATCCCTAACCAAGGAGATAAAAATTAGAAAGAAAAAAGAATAAAAAAACCCCGAGACTTCCAGTGGACAATTAAATCTAATTAAGGAACGGATTTAGCTCAGCTAATCAGAAAGACGATTGATTGATTGATTGTTTTTAGTTTTATAACCCTATCTATAATCAATCAATCATCGTTCCCATTAGCTAAGCTTAAAATAAAGTATTCTAGATGTACATGTAGACAAGTCAGAAGGGAAGCTGTACATTAGAAATCAGAATTGAAAAGAGGCAAATCGAGAGATGGCAAGAAAATTAAAGAACCATTCCATTCTATCGTAATGAGAATAAAGACGACGGTCGAGTCCCTTTACTTTTTCTTACTTTGCAATCAAATGCTAATGGTTAAGCGTTTTTCGATGCCTTAAACGGAAAAAATAGCTTTCCAAACTATGCAGATTATAGCTAAATCATATGTATAGGTTACATGATCAGCAAGAAAACAATTGACCAAAATAACCGTTATGATACCCATACTCTGCTCTCTTGATTGTAAGGTACGGCCATTGAAATCTTAATCAATTTTAAAAAGATTTCATAGGTAATATATATTATTCAAATCTGGATTATGTGAGGTTAAATTGCAATTACTTGAGCAGTAAGCATGGTGATATAAGAATACTCAAAAAAAAATATTCGGAATTCTCAGCCGTAAAACGTCGGTCATATGCAGCATCTGAAGAATCGTTATTTTACGTATCCCCCGATGCAACATAGTCTGAAGTTTAGGGATTGCTAGGGTTGTAACCAGTTCAGAATGAATTTCGTTCAAAAATTTGAATTGAACACTCATCCGCAAAAAATGTCTCGAACAGCATATGAAGCAACATTACTGTTATCTATCCCAAATGCAATATCTTTGCAGACCAGATCATTTAGGATTTATCTAACTGCATAAATAAAATGTACCAGTTACTGCATCATACGAAGCAGAGTATCAGTCCCTAGTAATATTCAAGTAGGATTGGTCATTATAAGCCATGTTACGGTGTAGATCCACAGGTGCTCGTGGACAGGACCCTGCTTTTTACGATGCATCCTCCCTTTTATGATTTTTTATAATCATTTTTTATATTTTTTTTTTAGTTTTTATCTCTTACTACTTCATCACAATAAAATTAGAATTTACATCTGCGTCGAGTGAGAGATAAAAAAAAGAAAATTATATACTTGTATATAAAAAAAAATATTATTAAAAAATAAAAAGGAGGAGGCGTTGCGACATAAAAGCAGGTCCCTGTCCTCAAGCACCTGTGTGTAAAACAGTAAACCCTGTAACGATGTACAACAATAAACCATGTTATGGTGTGCAACAATAAACCATGTGACGGTGTACAGCAATAAACCATGTAACGGTGTACAACAATAAACCATGTTATGGTGAACAGCAATAAACCATGTAACGGTGTACAACAATAAACCATTTTATGGTGTACAGCAATAAACCATGTTATGGTGTACAGCAATAAACCATGTTATGGTGTACAGCAATAAACAATGTGACGGTGTACAACAATAAACCATGTAACGGTGTACAACAATAAACCATGTTATGGTGTACAGCAATAAACCATGTGACGGTGTACAGCAATAAACCATGTAACGGTGTACAACAATAAACCATATTATGGTGTGCAACAATAAACCATGTGACGGTGTACAGCAATAAACCATGTGACGGTGTACAACAATAAACCATGTGACGGTGTACAGCAATAAACCATGTAACGGTGTACACAATAAACCATGTTATGGTGTACAGCAATAACCATGTAACGGTGAACAACAATAAACCATGTTATGGTGTGCAACAATAAACCA